CTGAGGATCCCAACTGCCTATTTTGCCGCTTTTCTGTCAGATCTTTATGGCTCCGACCTCTGGGTCAGACGGCGAGCGGGAAGCTGTCATGGATGCCAACAAGTAAACGCCGCCTCAGGCGGAAGTCCATACTTGCAGAAGTATGGGCGGGGGTCGTAGCACAGGCTACGACTGGGACGCTGGTCCCTGGCTCGCGGAGCCCCGTCATCGATTGGAAGCATGGATCAACGGTACGCCATTCCGGACTGGACCGCGCCATTTCGGAATTGGCTGTACGATTCATGGGATGGCCGCATCCTCCGCTATTTAAGCGGGTGAAACTCTTCCAAATCGGTGTCTTCCGACGCCACCATCCAGTTGTGGTTTAGTAAGATACAACAAGTCTGGTATCGAGACGGTTCCTCCCGGGGCCTCTCGCATTTCCGAAATTTTCAAGATCCCCCTTTTGCCATCAAGATCCCCACTTCTACCGGCGCGTGGATGGAGGTCGACGACGTCACCGGACCTTTGGCTACAATCGTCGACGCTCTTGGCGATGCTGTCCGCGAAGTCGCTGCCGCCGGTCTGTAAACTACTTTAGCAAATCTGTTTGCTGACATTTTCTAGGATTTTGGGTTAATAGCGGTAAGACTGCTGCAGGCTCCGAACCGCCAGTTCCTTCGGCGGTCCCTGCCCTTTGCCGGAGGCTCTGTCAAGAGCTTCGTAGCACCCGTTCGGTGCTAGAACAGACTTCCAGAAAAATTGACAGTTCGCTTTACTTGGGTACGCGGTCTGCCTGATCTGGGTCAGGATAGTGGAAATGGAGCAGTCTAGGCGAAGTCGTTGGGGATTGCCCTCCACTATCAATATGACCAATGGAACTGTCCCGCCGCCGCCTATTGCCCGGAATAACAGTAACCAATTAATAAATATGAATAATCCCTCATCCGATGTTCTGATTCCTGCAGTGGAACACATCGCGGGTCGCGCCACCGGGACGACCGCCGGCGATGGAGAGAACAACGCCGCTACTGAGCGCGGCTTGCCCGCTGGGGCCAGCGATGAGGTGATCAGAATCACTATTCCGGTACCTAGGCTCAATATTCCTGCGGAGATTAAGCTTAGTGAATTATCGCGGGAAGTTGCGCCACGAGTCCGCGCCTTCGTCCGTGATGTCCGGAAGTATTTTGATTTCGTGCGGGGCGGAAATCATGACAGTATCCGTTGCTTATTTTTAGCTAACGCTCTTGAAGGCGCCGCGAAAACCTGGCATGATGACTGGACTAACGCGCGGTTGCAATATACTTCAGAGCAACTTTTGGATGCGCTATTAATTCGTTTTGCCCCGCAGATTCAAACGCGCGAACTAGAAGCGCTAGAAAAGCTTGCTGCTGGGCAGCATCAGATGCGGGCAAACGAAACGGTAGCCGCGTACCATAGTCGTTTCGAGGCTCTCATAGCACCCATTCCTGACTTAAGGGAGGTTGATCGGATTTTCTGGTTTATCCGCGGCCTTTCCTCTGAGTTCTCGGGAGAATGTGCTACCGACCATGACGGAAAGCCTTTTCAGGAATATGCCAAACTTGTGCAGCACACGCTTGGTGTAGAGGCCCGTCAACTTGCTAAACTTCGTTCCCAAGCCCAAACCCGCGTGCTTCTGCGTGCTTCCACCGCTGTGCAGGATCCCGCGCCCATCATCACTGACGACGGGGACCTCCCGGCACCGGAGGTCAGGCCTCGGGCTGCTACTGTTGCCGCTGGGCGAAATACAGCTCGCCAGGCCTCCGGTGCTGGTGAGTCGAACCGTGGGCGCAGGGGTCGGGGTGGCAAGCATAGGGACAAGGGTCGGCCCAGGGCCGCTGCCGCGGGAACAGGGGCGACGGTGCTAGGCAAGCGTGGCCGGGATTCGAATCCGGCCGAATGGATGAATAAGTTTTACTGCACTCGGGCGGAGTACGAGTACCGCCGGAAAAACAGCCGTTGCCTCCGCTGTGGGGAGGATAAGCACCTAGTAGCAGAGTGCCCGTTGCTGTCAGAAAAGAGAGCTAGGAACGGGGAAAAATAGGGGGTTGCCCAGGACAGTGTTAGGGAAGCACCCCCTGGGTTACAAACCCGAACGGTACCCCTTATCTGCCCGGTTGGACGTGCTGTCCGTGCTGTTTTACCGGCCGTTTTAAACCAAGTTGAGAAGGCCGTTGGACGGCGTTTTTCGTTTGACGCTCGTACTGCTCGTCCTGGTTTTGATGAGCACTGTAATCTTTTTGCTATTCCACGGCGTCTAACCTCTAGTAACTTGGGTGGGCATACCGTTTGGATTTCCCCTTCCTCTTTCAAGGAACTTCAGTCTCAGCTGGCTTACTATCGTATTTGCAAACGTCAGCGACCGGACACCGCTGCCTGTCTACTGTTACCAGCACATGTATCCCCGAGGGCTGCCTCCTTGCTGATAGGGATGCGTCGGGTTCTTCAGTTTCGTGCTGGTAGCAAGCTTTTCAA